ACACACATATGTATATATATATATATATATATATATATATGTGTGTGTCTGTGTGTGTTTTTTGTGTCTGTCTGCGTTTTTGTGTTTGTGCGCACGCACGCACGCACCTGTACTCATTAAATGCATCATATGCACTTAAACATACCGTATCCTGTGATAAGTTATATTTTATATGGTCTCTTAATTTTGTATACTAATAACATATAGGTTTTTGAGAATTGCTTTGCATTTATTGCTGTAGATTATTTTCGCATTCTGCACAAATATTTGTCTTATGTTGATAGCTGCATTTTGCTCGTTCATATGGTGTTGGTCGATATGCACACAGATTACACTGAGTTTCGACACTGGTGAGTCTGCAAGTGAGTGAGGTGCATTTGCTTTCGATATAAGATTTTAATGCCGATTATTAATGTTGGAGATGAAATCTCCCAGAGAAGATGAGAATTCCTGGACAACGTTAGTTTTACACAGGGGAAATTTTTGGGGTCTCGTCTTGTTGATCTTAGATATTTTAAACTTTTTGTAGTAGATAATAAATTGTAGGCATCTGTTATAATCATTGAGTGACATATATTAGTATATAAGGTTTTTAATTGCTTTTCCATCTAGGTTATAATCAGGGTATATCTGTATACGATAGAATAATTCAGTGATATTTTTTTTTATTTTTGTTTGCATCATTTTAGCTATTTTTCTAAATTTCATTAAGACTAACGCATAATGTAATAGTTAACGGCATGGAAAGAGAAATCGGAGGTCCGATTTCGAATTACATTCTGATTTCCTTGTATTTATTTTCGTTAAAATAACATTAACATTTCCTGAATCTCGCCGGCTCTCAGTTAAATAGCAGAGCAAACTTGGTTCGTTAGTCGTTGGTGGCAACTAATCAAGAAGGAAAATCTGAATTCAAACCTTGTCCTGGTGAAACACATGCATTGCAGCTAAAGAATATGTAGCGTCATTAATAATCACTATAATCCAAACTGTGTACGATACGAGGATATCTAAGAAATTTTCAGATTGACCTTTACCCGGCGTAGACATGGATATACGTTTTTAAAGAAAGGATATTTTTCAGGCACGGACGAATAAACACGTCGAAAACATGTTACAGACGTGTTTATACGTTGATTTTAATTCTTTTATTCTCTTCGGAGAATGAAACGAGGTCAATTGTCAATTTATACGTCTGGTAGAGTTGATATCCACCACTCGAGTACTTCAAGGTACCACAGTTACTATATTAAAAACAAATAAAAAAAATTCGCCTGAAAATGAAATGTTTTTCCAAAAATAATTGGCGGTGAAGTGTTTAATTCCTGAAAGTGCGTTCAAAGTTAGGATTTCTCTTACGACAGAAACTGCACAAAGAAATGATTTTTTTTATTATTATTCCTTAAAGCAATGCAGTGTCTCGATCAAACGTTTTGTTCAAAAATTGCAGAGACACGCATCCTAACTCGTTCGCTTTGCTGATCGCCATCTTGAATCTTTCTGAAGATAACACTAAGCAATTCCTTGCCGCGTTTTCAAGTATCTGGCTTGGGGCACTCAATTATGCTTTGGGCGTCATCCTAGGAGATCGGGTTTATGAAATTTATTTGGTGTGTCCGCACAGATATATTGTTACCAGATCCATTCATAGATCTTATATTTTTGGTAGAAAACATCAAATTTTTCTTGACGTCTATAAGGAATTTAATTGGCAGAGAAAATTCCTTCTACATGCATTATGGTTTCACACAATGGAATTACGTTGTTTTCTTTTAGTAATGCATAGAATTAGTGGGACAAGTAAATATGACCTTTGCATTGGGATTTGTATTCCCACTCATATAAAATTTTACCTGACCCCTCAATCATTTGATTTAATTTTGACATAAAATGTCAAATAATACAAAGGCTGGCTTGTATTTAATCCCAGACATTTGACGCAAAAATTCTCAAAGCCATGATAGGCTCATTCAAGGATAGAATAATGTTCCCTGTCACAAATCAAAATTCATGAACGAATACTTTGATTAGAAGCATGTGAATGTTATGAAATAGCCGCCCCAATCTCCTGACCTCAACCCCATAGAAAACTTATGGAGCATTATAAAGTACAGGCTCCTGAGAAATCAGTTGAGCAACATGCTTCTCATCAAAGTATTCCTTCGTCAATTTTGATTTGTGACAGGGAGCATTATCCTGCATAAAATGAGCTTGGTGGGGTCCATTTTCACCCTTTCAGCAAAAGGGAGCAGACATGACTCTAAAATTCTCTTGTACTGCTCGCTCCTGAGGGTTTTTCAATAGGTTTTAAGAAACCAGTTCCATGAAAAGAAAAGCATCCCTAGAACATTATACTGAACGGATCCTTGACAGTACTCACTGCTAAATTCAAAGAGCTTTCAAAGCTTCTTCTTCGGATTTTAGATCGCTTTTCCTTTGAATTTAGCTCTACTTTCGTTTCATCGAAGAAGAGAACATTTAGTAAAAAATATCAGGTGAGTCACTTTTATTGAACAGCACTGTATATATATATATATATATATATATATATATGTATGTATATGTAATCGGCTGAGCTCTAATTATATATATATATATATATATATATATATATATATATATATATATATATATATATATATATGCCAGGGCCGTAAAATGACGTCAATTATTCGAAAATTTTAATAGTAACACCAAATGGAACAAAAGATTCAATAAACCGGCGATAAAAAAATTAACAACAAAAATATAGAAAAATAAACTGTTTAATTAATCCGTTCCTTCTATATTTATTTATATGTTCGCTGGTCTCTTCTTTGATTACCTGTGCTATTATATAAATCCTAATTTGCTAATTATCTTTAAATTTAAAGTTTTGTGTTTAAAAAAAATTTGTAAACGAAATATATCTTCGA